GGAGTGGTGCTGTGTCTGGTGAGATTGGGGAGAAGGACAAGAGTGAGGACCGGTGATACTTGTGATGGTCAACGAGCACACTCATGTCCTTCACGAAGTTGGGCGTTCATTGTTAAGAGATTCGGTGTGCAGTGTGTTCTGGTTTGGTGTGCTCTCGAGCTTTGTAAATCTGACCTTGACTTTGCTTACATATACTTTTCCTGCTTTGAGTCTTTTGCAGCAGGCTGCATGACAGGCCTCGTTTGCAAATCCCAACGAAACAAGCAATCGTCCTCCTCCCCCTCCCAGTTCTGAGGACCTCACCTCGTTTGCAAATCCCAACGAAACAAGCAAATGCCAACTGCAGCTTCAGTCTACCCTCCCTATGTATGCAACACTCTTCACAACTTCCAACCTAGGGAGAAGTACAGAAATGTGCACTTTATAGTATATTACTATCGCAAGGACTTGGGGGGAGGAGAAGGGGAGGAGCCTAGGTCTCATTGGTTGGAGTGTAGACTAGCAAGCGTTGCTAGTTGCTACGATTGCTGGGAAATCCACTGCACTTGTGCGTGTGTTTTTGTGTTTGTTTGTGTGTGTGTGTGTGTGTTCGCAGCCCTTAGGCTGCGGTATAGTGGGCTTCGGCGTCTGTGTCAAGATGTCGCATTTTTGGCGGCGGGCGACCAGGACGCAAAGTGGGTTCTTAGGGGGGGGAAAAAAATTGGGGGACCGGTCCTTGCCAAAATTGCGGACTACCTACAGCCAGCTCTGGTAGAACCGGGACTTTTGGAAAAACGAAGGACCGGTCCTTGGGTGGAAGTGGACCCCAAAAAGAAGTGGGGGGCACTGGACCGGTCCTCGGGTAGAAGCGGACCCCAAAAAGAAGTGAGGGCATGTGAACTGCAAAAGGGCCCTCAGGCCCAGGCGTTGACCCCCGTCTTCTCAAAACAGGGAGGTCAGGCACAATGAAACAGGCGTTTTGCAAGAGGCAACTTCGGCGATTTTCTGTGCTCAGACGAACATGCACAAAAATCTGAAATTTTGAGAACCCATAGATGAGGTCGTGTTCTTTCCAGAAATAATAGTAGAACATGTACAAAAAATCATTTAGACTGCGAAATAATCGTTGCGCCGATTCAGCACATTTTCCATTTTTGCCACTCAGCCATGCCTGGGCCAACTAAAAAAGTACTCCAAATTCAGTGCATTTTCGCGCGCAGATGAATGCATGAAAAAACCTGAAAATTGGACTACTCGTAGATTTTGTTGTGATGTTTCTAGGAAAAACGCTACATAAATTAAAAAAAATCATTCCAACTGCGAAATAGATTGCGGCCGCAATTTGACCCATATTTCAATTTTGCCATTCAGCCTCTCTCTCTCTCTCTCTCTCTCTCTCTCTCTCTCTCTCTCTCTCTCTCT